CTCTAGGAACTGGCCGGAAAAAACACGGGAAAGGAAAGAGCGACCGCTCACCCGCCGTTAAATAGCCGGGCTATGAGAATCCCGCGGGCTGCCAAAGCCAGGGCCCATTCCCAACCTGGTCTCCCTGTGGTGGCTGATACCTACATTGTCAATGGGACCTTAGACCCTAAAGCTAAACCCAGCCTCTTGCCGAGGGCCCTCACACATTCCCCTTCCCTAACACAGCCCTTTCTTGAACCCCGAAAGTCACCCAGTGCCCGGGCCCTGCCCTAGCACTGCCTCACACACACACAACACGGAGCAAATTAGCTAATTTAATAAATTGTGTGGAGAGCCTCTGATTTGGAGGGAAACCAGCCATGGCTTCACGTCGCTTTGGCTTTTCAGCTCTTGAAACATAGGCACGAGATCCCTACACATGAGTTCTGGCAAATAGACCCTTCTTAGGAATGGTTGCTCTTTTTTGCACACATAGAAATAAAAAATAATAATAAAAATACAGTTCAAAATTACATAACAAAAGGATAGTGAAATTAAAATAGCTATATTGAGATACACCAGTAAAAAAAATCAGCTGAAAATGGAAACCTGCAGAAACATCTGAAAAATTTGTATTCACTAGTGGTCTATTCACATTTCCTTTGAAATCATATAGCCCATGTTTCCTTGTGTGGTAACGTACTTGGTTACATATGGTGAAACATGAAAATACCAGCTTACAAAATTCCCCCTTGATTTTTATTTGCAACCTTTGTGAGCCCATCTGCTATTAAATTCTATTTTCCCTTTATACTTTTCTTGTCATAGAGTTGTCATCATCATCAGATTCAGAGTTAACCAGCACGTCTCTCAAGACGCTGTGCACCTGGCTGCACTAATACACTGCTGCCAAGAGAGTCTTTGGGAAAGGCTGATTAGGTTGCCCTAATTTAATTCAGACACATCCTTGCAATGCGTTAGGGTAGATGCAGACCAGCTAGAGGGATGCGACCAGCACCTCCAAAATCTGGCGTTAATCTGGTTGCTTGACAAACGTGGTTTGCTGATTTCATAGGAGCTTTCTTAATGGCTGACATTTTGTTGCCCAGCAGGATATGTGTCATTTTAGTCAACATCTTTGAGGAAAAATATCGGAGCAGTGTACAAGGATTGCAGTCACTACATTCGGTTACAAAGAGGAATAAATTACTGAAGAAAATAAGTAGTATGTAGAAACAAGTACATTTAACAGCCTGTGAGGAAGTTGCCATTTTGATGATTCGATGATGTAAAGAAAGTCTCAAATGCGTCTGAGCTTTATCTGGAATGCATGAGAACCAAGCAGATTTTTTTTTGATTTGCTATTTAAGTTTTGCAGAAACTAATCATTAGATCAGCTACATGATTAGCTTGCACATTTGTCAAACATTTTAAAATCAATCACTTTTAATAGCAATAGAATTTCATTTGCTGCATTCTTTTATGGAGGAATATCCTATTTTCCTAGCTAACACTGCAAGATCAAGCTAATTTCCAGGGAATCATGAAGTTATTATTATTACTGCTTTTCATTACAGACACACTAAACTAGTGACAAGCATTCCTAAAAACTTTCTTATTGCTGTAATTCAGTATATATCTAGCAGTGTAAGCAGTATTTTTTTTTTTTATTGCTCAAACGATAAGCTCAAATCTCTGCAGTCAAATCCTGGAGCAAGTGACATACAGATTTTCCTGTAGCTTACATCATGACCTAACTTTGAAATCTTTAAAACATAGGTGAAATCTCTAAACATAGGACAGGAATAATTTTTAAAAAGCTTGGGCAGCTTAAGTAATGTGACTCTACATAATTTAGAAATATAATCCTAAATTTCTCTTACTCTGCCTCAACTATAAAAATCCAAGGATATTTTCAAAGGGAGGAAAAGGGGAAAGTTGTCCTGCTATCCTTTCCTTTGCCCTTGCTAACCTTCACCGCCCGAGATTCAGCGTCCAGATTTGCTGCCGTGTTCACCGCAGAGGGCTGCAGCTCCGTAGTGATGGATGCAGCTCGCGCCTTTCACCTGGAAAGGGTTTAGAACTGAATGACACTTGAAGTACTTTTAGTCATTACGATACCTTACGCTAATCACTATCAGCACCTAATGGCTTCATTTCTGGAGGCCGTTTAACTCCTCACCCTCTCCGGCTGGCAGCACGGGCTGGAGAATCCAGCTGGGATTGCGGGTGGCACCGCACAGGCATCCCCAGGATCAACCTCCGGGATCACAAACCCCTCAACAGCCTCTCACCGAGAGGCTAAATCACAAGTGGGAACATACGGCTCTCTGCTGAGAGGAGATTTTTTTTCGCCTGCTCTTATTCAGACTGTCTCCCTGTAACACATCCCCCCATCAGTGTTTGATTGTGACTCGGGGTCATAGGAAAAGCCAGGAATGGCTGAAATCTGTTTGCTCGCTTCACGCGGTCAGAAACAGTGTCAGATGGGTGGCTTGTTTGCCTTTAATAAAGCACCCATCCAAACTTCCAGCGATAAAACACAACAAAGGACAAATATCTCCAGTGCGACGGCTTTGTCAGAAGGGCTGCATAGCCCTGGGAAGCCCAGGTGACCTTTAGGAGGTGGTATCACTAACTGATAATTTAATATAGTGAGCTCACAAAACAGCTAGCAAAAAAAAAAACCATAATAAAGTGGAATGCCCCAATGAGAAACCTCCCCAGATCAGTCCCGCTTCTCATCACGGCAGAGCAGATGTGCTGCTTGTGATACACCCTGAGTGTTATCAAATCAGGGCACTATTGAGCCAAGATGTGAAATGTG